GAATGGTAAGCTGTTGTGTGGATGTGTGTAGTACCCGTGTTTTTTGTTAACTGCCGGAACAGGTCAGATTCGAATTGTCTTCCCTGATCCTTAGTAATCCTTGTTGGAGTACCGAATCTTGCTATCCATTGTGAGAACAGTTTTTGGGCAACTGTTTCTGCTGTAATGTCTGCTATGGGTATGGCTTCGGGCCATCGTGTGAATCGATCTACGATGGTTAGGCAGTATCTTTTTCCTTTAGAGATTGGTAGTGGTCCTACGATATTGTTCATGCCTATGCGCATTCACGGGCCTATTATTTCTGCGCTTGCGCGGATCTTGTTTAGTTTTTAGTTTCATGCCTGAGAACGAAATCTGTTCGTTCGTTGCATTAGAGCGTTAGCCAGAAAACAGCGAACTGTATTGCTGTAAGACGCCTCGAGCGTAATAAACCATCAAACCCGAAGCAAATTGTTATCATAAACATTGGCGCCCGACGTAGGGGCTCGAGGCGATCATCGAGGTAACGCAGAAGCATAGGAAGCATACTTAACCTCAACGGAAGAAGCGAGAGAAAGTCGCCACAACCAAAGGTCAGCAGATCGGCACATTATCAGCAATTATACAACATGGAAATAGACACGCGTAAACTAAAACAACGTAGAGCTAACATAAAGGGGCAAGTTACTCGGATAATGCATTTTTTAGAGGCAGGTACTGCCACTAAAGCAGAAGCGCAGGTCAGACTGCCAAAACTAGAAGAGCTCTTCAAAGGTTTCGAGGAAGTGCAGCGCATAATTGAAGACAAAGTAGACCTCCCTGAGGAAGAGGAAGAGTCAAGCGAAATAAACGATCCCGAAAGAGAAATATTCGAGCACCTCTATTACAAGGCAGCTGCGATAGCTCAAGAAATAATTGGGCGACAAGAACGCGAGGCTCAAACACAAACAGCCGCAGAAGCTTCAGGGCAAAATCAAGAAGGAACACCCGAAGTCACACCCGAAGTCACACGCCGACGACTAAAACTGCCGGAGATAAAGCTCCCAGAGTTCAACGGAGACTACACCCAGTGGTCATTCTTTAAGGATAGCTTCGAGACGACTATTCACAAGGACGATAGTCTGACAGCTGTACAAAAGCACCAATACCTTATCGGATTGCTTCAAGGAGAAGCCCGCAGTGTCATCCTAGGATTCAGATTTCCAGCGAGAACTACGAAAGCGCCTGGAAATTGTTAAAGGATACGTATGATAACAATACGGTAATTATTCAAAATCATTTAGAAGAGTTATTGGACTTTCCAGAGATAACGAAGGACAATAAATCGGATTCAATGCGACGGTTTATTTGGCACATTCAAACCCATGTGTCTGCACTAAGGACGCTATCATTACCAGTCGATTCATGGGACGCCATTCTGATGCATCTAGCAAAGAAGAGGCTAGATTATGGTGAACAAAGAGATTGGCAAAATCTCATAAAGAAGAGAACGCAGGAAAACATGCCTAAATTATCGGAATTCCTTGCATTCTTAACCGAACGATGTCACACAATCAAGGTTCTCGAGCAGGGTCGGACGAAGCCTATAGAGAAGCAATCAAATCGAGGCACGAAAGGGAACGAGCGAAAGGTAGCTTTGGTTTCCGTAACAACTAAGTGCAAAATTTGCGAAGGCGATCATCCAGTTTTCAAATGCGGCAATTTTCAAGAATTGTCGATAACGGATCGCAAGAAAAAGCTGAAGGAGAAGAGGTTATGTTTTAACTGTCTCGGCTCAGGTCATTTTGTTCGAGAATGTAAGGCCTCGACATGCAAGAAGTGTAACAAAAAACACAACTCAATTATCCACGAAGACGTTGAGGAGGAACAAGAAGAAGTTCAAGCAAAGCAAGCCTGCGAGAATTCAACAGCGTCAGTCGTAATGAATTGTACGAAAGCAGGACTCAATTCACAGGTCGAGTTGTCAAATAAATAGCAATCATCAATTGCGAAGTACGATCCTATAACAAATGTTTATTGCGCCAGCCACAACGGGACCAGAGTGATTCTTTCCACTGCAAAGGTTCGCGTATTAGGATCAGACGGTGAAGAGCGGTACTGTCGAGCGCTGCTGGATCCGGGATCACAATCAAATTTGATAACATCCGATTTGATGCGAAAACTTAGGCTGTCATGTCGCAACGAGATACGTCCGATTAGTGGAATCAACAAGAAAGTCACAACAGTTAACAAGGTATCTTGTATACGCATTAGATCAATACACGGGGATTTTAAGACAACGGTGGAATGTTTAGTAGTACCGGAAATCACAGAACAGTTACCACAAGTCAAGTTAAATACAACCAAAATACAACTCCCAAGGGATACTAAATTGGCAGACCCCACATGCGACAAACCAGGACCTATAGATATGCTTCTCGGCGCAGGAGTATATTGGAAAATTATTATTGGCGCACCAGAAAATCACATCAAAGGAAGACCTGCTCTACAGAATACGCATCTGGGAGTGATCATCGGTGGAGAATTGGAAGAGGAGCTTATCAACACGTTGGATTGCTGCAATGTGGTCACTAATTCACAGCTACAGAGTCAGCTGCAGAGGTTTTGGATCCAAGAAGAGGTTCCGGAGGTTCGTCCATACTCGCCAGAGGAAATGCATTGTGAGAATTTATTCTCTAACACTACTACACGACAAGATGATGGCAGATTCATCGTACGGCTGCCAATTCGTTCGCATGTGAATTTGGGAGATTCTATGGCCCAGGCTATTAGAAGGCTCGGTTTCTTGGAACGACGCTTATCTAAGGATCCAGAGTTGAAGAAATCTTATAACGAGTTCTTAAGGGAATACCTACAACAGGGTCACATGTCAGCAGTCGAAAATCAGAGTGAGGTACTTGCACAGGAGCATTATGTTATTCCACATCAACCAGTTTTCCGACCCGAAAGCACGACAACAAAGTTACGAGTCGTTTTCGACGCTTCTTCAAAGACTACAAGCGGCGCATCACTGAATGACAAGCTGATGCCTGGACCGAATTTACAAGCCGATCTACAGAGAATATTGATTCGATTCAGAACGCATGAATTTGCTTTGACGGCGGATATAACATCAATGTTTAGGCAAATTCTAGTAGATCATCGGGATCGAAACTTGCAATTGATTCTGTGGCGTGATGAAAAAACGCAATGTCAACAATTATATAAATTGAATACTGTTACTTACGGAACGGCAAGTGCCCCTTTCTTGTCAATGCGATGTCTCAAGGAGTTGGCAAATATCTACAAACGAGAATTTCCATTGGCAGCTAAAGCGATAGAGGAGGACTTCTACATGGACGATGTTCTGTCTGGAGGACCTACACTGAAGAGTGCAATAACATTGCAAACTCAGCTGACGGAAATGTTAGCACGTGGACATTTTCCTTTGCGAAAATGGAGAGCAAACCATCAAGACGTACTAAAACATTTATCAGAACACAGCAGAGCAGACAATTTGCTCGTAATAGACAAGGATCAGCCACTTAAGACGTTGGGACTTCTATGGAATGCGACCACGGATACTTTCCAATACCAGGTTACGTTAAAAGGAAATGCATTAAATACAAAACGGAATGTGTTATCAAAAATAGCACAGGTGTTTGATCCCCTTGGATTAGTAGCACCAGTACTCATCGTTGGAAAGATCATCATGCAGAAGATATGGCAGCAGCAAGTGGAATGGGATCAAGAGCTACCGACGAACTTAAAAATGGCTTGGGAAGATTATAACACATCGCTCGCTGGATTGAATGACATAAGAGTACATAGGAATGTCAATATTCGAAACCAAGCGTCGACCTTCGATCTTTATGGGTATGGAGACGCGTCAGAAGCAGCATATGGAGCATGTCTATATGCAGTCTACAGAGATAAGCAAGCATAAATCATTCGGAGTTAATTTGTGCAAGAGCGAAGGTGGCACCGCTGAAGATTATATCTTTACCGAGGCTTGAATTAGAAGCCGCCCTCTTGCTAGCGCAACTGTACAACATTGTCAAACGGTCCTGTAGGGACAAAGTAAACAAGGTTAAGCTGTGGAGTGACAGTATGATAACGCTCGGCTGGATAAAGACACCACCGCATCTACTCAAGACATTTGTAGCCAATCGGGTATCAAAAATTCAGGGTCTTACAGAGGAAGTCACGTGGGCACATGTATCGTCGGAAGAAAACCCGGCCGACCTCTTATCAAGAGGGGTTTCAGCAAGTCGTTTAATAGAAGAACAATTGTGGTGGAATGGTCCTTGCTGGTTAAGAGAAGGCAAGCAACCACCCCCTGCAACGGAAAGTCCAGAGATTATATTACCCGATTTGAGGTCCTTGCCAGTCAGTCTGATGTTGACTCACACGTGCCAACTTTTAAGAAAGTATTCGTCGTACGGTAAACTATGTAGAGTTGTAGCTTATTGTTACAGGTTCTTGGAAAGCTGCAGATCGGGCAGGAAAGCAACGCCACTCACCGTGGCCGAGCTGGAACGAGCAGAGAGGAGCATTCTACGATGGGTTCAACAAGAAGCCTTTTCCGTGGAGATTCGATATCTACAAGAAGGCAGACCATTCCCACGAAAAAGTCAGTTACGCGCACTGTCTGCATACATCGAAGAAGGTTTGATCCGTGTAGGAGGTAGGCTGCAACACGCGGAAATCAAATCGGAACAGAAAAATCCCATCGTCTTGCCTACGAAACACCATGTCACCAGTATTATTCTACGCGACCGGCACGAACGATTGCTTCACTGTCCACCGGAGCAATTGTTGCACGATGTACGCCAGCGATTTTGGCCAATCAGCGGGAGACGGGAAGTACGTAAGATCATCAAAAAATGTGTTAAATGTTATCGCATCAATCCAACTACAATGGAAATCAAGATGGGTGAACTTCCTGCCGAGAGAATTCGGAGTGGGGACCGACCATTCACCATCACAGGTATAGACTACGCGGGTCCAATCCAAATTCGAGAAAGCAGACGCAGAGGAAGAATCCATGTCAGCAAAGGATACATTGCCGTATTTGTTTGTGCAAGTACAAAAGCAGTGCACCTCGAGATGGTAACGGATCTATCAACCGACGCATTCATCGCTACTTTACGAAGATTTATCGCTCGCAGAGGACTGTGCTCTCAAATATTATCGGATAACGGCACCAACTTTGTGGGAGCAGCTAAGCATCTTAAAGAATTGTACGAGTTCTTACTTAAGGAACAAAAATCAATCGAATCAGAATTGGCAAAACATAGAATAGAGTGGCGCTTCATCCCACCTCGCGCCCCTCACTTTGGAGGATTATGGGAGGCTGCGGTGAAGAGTACCAAGAGACATTTACACACTGTAACAGAAGGACGCGTTCTGACGTATGAGGAGTATAGCACTATTCTCGCTCAAATAGAAGCTGTGCTTAATTCGCGGCCATTAACCCCGCTTTCGAGCGATCCGTCAGATCTTTCTGTTTTGACACCAGCACATCTCCTAATTGGGAGCTCACTTCTGCAACCAGGGCAGAAAAATCACCTTGATGCTCCAGAAGGCTGTCTTATCCAGATGGCAACGAGTTCAAAAATTAAACCATCTGTTTTGGGAACGATGGAGGACGGAATACTTGCAAGAATTGCAGAAGAGGACCAAATGGACAACTTCCAGCAATAAGGCGAAAGAAGGCGACCTGGTCATAATAAAGGAAGATAATCTCCCCCCTCTCCAGTGGCGGTTGGGTCGAATAATACAAGTACACCCAGGTTCGGATGGTGAAATAAGAGTCGTCACATTACGAACTTCGAGCGGAATATTTAAAAGGCCTGTCAGGAAGCTGTGCTTGCTTCCAATAACGGATTTTCCTGAAGGTTAAAGAGAAGATAAAAGACAATCGACTGCGAGTTGCATTTATTAGTTGCCTATTATAATCAGTTCACTAACAATAAGTTTATCATTAAGTTAGTTTAAGTTGAACATTTGGTTTTATATTCAGATTTATATTGAAAGTTCTTTCAAGGTGGCCGGAAGATGTTCATGCCTATGCGCATTCACGGGCCTATTATTTCTGCGCTTGCGCGGATCTTGTTTAGTTTTTAGTTTCATGCCTGAGAACGAAATCTGTTCGTTCGTTGCATTAGAGCGTTAGCCAGAAAACAGCGAACTGTATTGCTGTAAGACACCTCGAGCGTAATAAACCATCAAACCCGAAGCAAATTGTTATCATAAACAGATATCGATATGTATATGCTCGAAACGCCTTGAGGGGCTCATGAATTGTTTTACCGGAGTTTTGTTGTGCCTGCCTATTTTGGTTTTCTGGCACATTAAACACTCCTTCGCCCATTGGATGCAGTTTGCTTTGACTTGTGGCCAGACGTATCGTTGTGCGACCAGCGTAGCTGTTGCCTTGGCCCCCGGGTGTGATAGGCTGTGTAAAGACAGAAATGCTTGTTTT